CCCCCAAAAAAAAATGTATATAAGGAAAAGCCACAAGTCTGTATCTGCATCCTTGTTCTGGGTTAGTGACTAAGTATTGAAGCATAATGATCAGGATCACAGCCAAGTAACGAGCACATTCTGAACGGTGATAGCAGTAGGAAACTCGACATAAAATAAGTTATTCATTAGGATGACCATGCTGTAAAGATGTGCAAATACAATTGTAGTAAACTTATTTGGTCCCTGCTAAAGTCTGCCTAAATAGCCAATGTGCAATCGAGCATTCTGACAAATCTCACAGCCAGAATAAGGAGTTGCTCTGGAATATTGGGACATAATGGAAGGGAGGTATCTGAAATCTGGCATCCAGGTGGGGTTTTGACAACTGGTACTGCAAAACATACACCCTTGTACTTGCTTTATATGCACAACACCATCTAATGGCTGAAGCAAGATTTGCATCTCTTTTGCAGTTAGATTTGAGAAACTCCTGTTATACTGTATGTTTGTTGTGTGTTCCTATTCACATAGCATACCGAAAAGGCCTGTGGGTGAAGCATGTTAGGAGAGCGTTTTAGTTCAGGGGAGCTTTGTAAGGGGTATGCTGTTTTATGGATTAAAATAACATTGGGATTTATTTGGAGGAAGCATACAGTGTAGCTCTTCTTGGGCAAATATTCGTACAGGTGGGAGCAAGACTTTTCTAGCACCTGGAGGTTCCTCTTAATATTGATCTGAGCGGTGAGTGTTGTGGATCTTTTGCAGTCAAATTTGAGAAAATCCCGTTATATGCGTTATATGTTTGTTGTGAGTTCCTATTCACATAGCATACCGGAAAAAAAAAGTTCTTACTTCCTGTTTGTTCAGAGCAGGATTATACATAGGAAACTAGGCAGTTTCTACTGGTTCAAATGGATGATAATGTACAGATATAGGGAAAGAAATTGAGGGACTTTTTTGTTTTAAGTGCATTAATATACAATGTAGCAGCCAAATTTTGAGATCTTTAACTAGGGCTGCAACCAGCTAATTGATTGATAATCGAGAATGACAATAGTTGTCAACTATTCTCGATTAATTGGTTGGATCCCCTCTCTCCCCTTCCACTCCAGGAGGTGGGCACAGCAGGCAGTGGGCAGGTGCAATAGCCAGCCTGCTATTGACAGTTGCAATTTGAAGTAGCCAATAGGAGGCTGGCTATTGTACCAGCTGTATGTACATTCAGCTGCCATCTCTGGAATCTTGCCACTGGCAGCTGTCATTCCCTGGCTGAATCTATTCAAGTGCAAAGTGCTTACAATAGGATTATAGAAAAAAAAAAGAAAGGTGGGAAAAATAGTTATTTTCGGTTTTGGTCTGGCAAATTCTGCTGCGTGAGTGTGTTGCAGCGCCATTCATTTTAATGGCAACCCAAACGTGACTCTCACCCATAGTGTGATCACCCGTACTGGAAAGCACGATAATGTAATGCTATCCTTTCCAATGCAGCGCGATTGCAAAAAATTGTGCATGCAGTTTTATTCTGAAGTAAAGTTTATTTTTGAAACACTCCATGTGTGTATTTTTTATTTTAAATTTAAAGGAGAACTATGAGGCGAGTGCTTTTTACTCACCTCATAGTTCTAGCCGACCTGTGACAATGAGACTGTCGCAGGTCGGCTCAGTAGATCGGGAAGTGAATGAACACATACTGGCGTTCGCTCACCTCTCGATCCTGTCACAGCTCTCTGCCGTAACAGGGGAGGGGCTGGATTCCGCTGACTGGCGGAACGGACGGGGGAGGGGGCGGGCACAGCTGGCTCTGCCTCTAGATAGGCAGAGCCAGCTGTCAGTCACGCAGCTGGGCTAACGTGACTCTCACCCATAGTGTGATCACCCGTACTGGAAAGCACGATAATGTAATGCTATCCTTTCCAATGCAGCGCGATTGCAAAAAATTGTGCATGCAGTTTTATTCTGAAGTAAAGTTTATTTTTGAAACACTCCATGTGTGTATTTTTTATTTTAAATTTAAAGGAGAACTATGAGGCGAGTGCTTTTTACTCACCTCATAGTTCTAGCCGACCTGTGACAATGAGACTGTCGCAGGTCGGCTCAGTAGATCGGGAAGTGAATGAACACATACTGGCGTTCGCTCACCTCTCGATCCTGTCACAGCTCTCTGCCGTAACAGGGGAGGGGCTGGATTCCGCTGACTGGCGGAACGGACGGGGGAGGGGGCGGGCACAGCTGGCTCTGCCTCTAGATAGGCAGAGCCAGCTGTCAGTCACGCAGCTGGGCGGATCCAGACATAATTGTTGGGATCCGCTTCAGCTGCGGTGGCTCAGTATAGTAGCTGTAGCTCGCGGTATACTGAGCCTAGGGTGACGGGAGGACGCTAGTTTGTGTCCTCCCGTTACCCTAAGGAGAACTATGGGGAAAAGCCTTAGCCCCATAGTTCTCCTTTTTAAGGATAGTTTTTTTTTTTTATCTGATCGAAATAATAAATCTGCCAACTAATTGATTATGAAAATAATCATTGATTGCAGCCTCATCTTTAACCCTTTGCTAGGATAGAGAGTTAAGCCCATCTAGTTTAAAAGTAATAGTGAAATCTGTCAGCACAGTACAGGTGGGGTCAATTATGGCAAACAAAAATCCCCAGCTTCCTCAACAGTGAGAACGAAGCAGGATTTTTCGGCCCTGGGGGTTCCAGACAATGCCATCTAAAAAATGTAAGCTGCAATTTTTAAATATATTTGTAAGTTATGCTATGTGAATGGGACCATGTAACAAACAAAGTAGATGTTATCTCAATTAGGCTGCAAAAGTAGAATACACTGTAAGGGCTAGTTCACACCATAACTGCACGCGTCTGCGCAGCTGCATTGCGATGTGGTCGCTTTTGAGGCTTTTTTTTTTTAGCTTAAAATGGGCTTTCAGGTGCAGTCTAGTGCGTTTGCATGCAATCCGTTGCGATCAGGTGCAGCCAAAATGAGACAAGCCGTATTTTTTCTGACTGTACTGGTGTGAACAGACACCAGAAATCCCATTGGAAAGTATTGTGACGTGAATTTGATGCAGCTGCCAAACTACACGGACTACATCACAACTGCATCTGGCGTAAAACTAGCCCTAAGGCTGTTGGGTTTCATCTGTTTCTGGATTACTGAGAGGTACCTGCACTTATGTGCAGAGCAAAGTAGACACACACAGATGTTGAATCCGTGAATTTTTCTGAAACTTAAAAATAGAGCCACAGGGACCCCAAAAAATAAGACTTTTCACATAGAAAAGGGTGTTCTTTCTTTCCAAACTTTAGTGGGGTTTTGTCATGAGGACCGCTGGTGGCTATAAATAGTGTTTCTAGGGGTTATGCTTCAACCAATGGGAAATCATTTTAGCTTTGGATCACTATTTTAGAATGTTTGCCAAGCTTCAAATCTATTTACACTTTTATTATGAACTTATGTCTATACTTGTCCCTGCAGCCACTGAAAAAAATGCCCATATAATGATTGATTGCCTTGACTGAAGATAAATCCAGTGTCAAGGAGCATGACATACAACCTCCCAGGATGTCTTTACATTATGTTTTGCTGTAATCCAGCTTCTGCTGCAAAATAGGCTGCCATCCAGCCCAGTACAGGGCATGTCTCCAAGCAGCACACTTTCTTAATGGTTACTTACAGCCTAATGATAGTGAAGCAGAACGTAAAGACAGCTAGTGTAGACTACAAAGTACCTGAATTTGACTTTGTACTGGGATAGGGACAGACAGCACTTAGAGAGAGAGAGAGAACACCATCAATCTGCTGCTGTTCTTTCACTGTCCAGTCAAAGGCAGAGAGCTAAGCTACTATGAAGAGAAGTCAGATCATTTCTGTCAGGGCCGTGCAAATTTAATCACTTTGTGGATAAACTTATAAATTATTTGGCAAAAACAGCTCCAATGTACTGTGTGTTTGCCAAGTGTACGGCTTTAAGATTTCTTGTTCACAATCATGGCAATGTTTCCCAAAATATGCATTTTTATCCAAATGAGGGACCAAGCAATAAATGTGTACCCAATATTTTCCCCACTTTGTAATGTACCGATATTTAAAAAGTACGTATCTAACACTGAAATTGACAGCATTTACCTTCTTTTCGATGAGAAACTCTTTCACAAGTAGTAGAGTATGCTTACAGAAAACATAGAAACATGGGCACTAAAAGAAAGAGAAAAAATACATGTTTTATATCTAAAAAGAGGTATAAGATGAAGTGCAGTGTACAGTAAAATAATGCTGTTTATTAACCCATGACCCAGAAAAATTTGGAAATGCATTCTTTACATCAGGCAACTGAAACAAACATGACATTTTAAAGTGGTTGTAAACCCAGAAAAAAAGTCTGCATTACAGCCTTCCTATTCAGGCTGTCTAACAATATGTACCCTTTATATTCCACATTTTTACAACCACATTAATAGCTCTTAAAGAGACCTTGTTGCAGGTAAAAGCACAGAAAAATCAAGACTTCTAAATGCTTATTTGCAGTGTTTTTCCTTTCCATTAGGGCCCATTCATAGTGGTGTGTTGGGTTAACATGCATTATGTTGTGGAGTTTTGTGTTAAGGCAGCCTATTCTTTTGAACAGGCTGGCAATGCACAGAAAAACGGATTTGCAGCATTTTTGCGACACAAAGCACCACAATGCATGGTAGTTAGGTAGCGCGCTTGCAATGTGCCTTTAATTGATATACATTTTTTGCTACTCCATGAAAGTCAATTTCACAGCACAGCCCCCTCCCTTCTTGCACACAGCTCGCCTTCTCTGGGAGTGTCTAATTACTCTCTGTGCTGGCCCAGCTATTCCGTCCCTCCCTTCACATCCCTACATAACCTTTTGTACACACACAAGCTATTTGTTTTGGCTCAGTCACGTCACAATTTTCCATAAATAGGTTCCTGACATGTTACACTATACGGTAAAAGTACACTTTGTATTCGCTCACAAGGGGAGAGCCAGCAGGAGGGAAATGATCTGTGTAAAGGATTTACATGATTGTATTATCACCGAAATGAATGTCTTACTCTGTGAAGTAGATGGTAACCCTGGCTGATGCCTGAACAAAGAAGGTGCATTATAGGGAGAAAGCAAGATGGAAGCATTGTCAGCACTCTTTTAGGGCTAATTCACACAGGTACAGAGGTCTGTGTACCGGAACAACGTCCAGGTCTCTGCTCCAAGGAGCCGTAGTCTTGAATGTACACGATCAGAACAGTGGTTATCAGTGTACAGCTGCAACCGGTCATTGATTTGTAATGGCAGGCTGCACATAACCCCTGGCTCAAGCCTTTTTTTTTTTTTTTACAGTACATAGACCTCTGTGCCTGTGTTAATGGGCTGCAAGCATTGACCTGTCGTTTAGCTGCCTGGCTATTATGGAGCAGTCACATCCTTCAATATGGGCAGCACACATCTGCAGAATGGGATGGAGGTCTGTGTTAGGTGAGCTTGTCTGGATAATACACAAAAATATATGTATCTTCTGCTCACTGTAAGCTCCACTGTGAAGTCCTGGTCCAGCTCACTGCTTTCCAGCAAATTAGAAAAAGACTGAATCACCACACTTATCCTATAAAGGAAAACTCCATTTTCATTACAACATTTATATACCTAATTTCTGAAGAAGACATTCTTTAATTTAGTGCTACTACAAAATTACCTATCTATAGAAATATATAACTCATGGTTATAAATAGGTATTAGTTACATCTATTTAACATCTTACCGCTTGTCTCGATGTGGTATCTGTGGCTGAAGGTTTTTCCAGTAAAGCTGTGATTTTTTGGTTTTCATCTGTTTCCAGAATACCATATTTCCTCATTTCTGAATGAAATAGAAGTTGAATGTACAATTTAACATATGTTTTATTGAGAAGCACAGTATACATTTTTAAAGTATCACTTACAAACACTACCATATAGAATTGCCCAGTTTTCATAAAAGCATGCCACTAATATAAATTCATACACACTGGATAGAAAATAGACTGTTTTACACACAATATAGGTGAATATGATGGCTTTCAGTAGTAAACATTACCATAAGAATCATAACGGAAGAGAAAAGGCATGTGGAAAGGTCATTTTTGGTTTATTGTTCTCATCTCAATACAGAAGATGTTATAATCAATAATGCTCATGTTAGCTGAGTGCCTTCATGTATTAGATGCTTATATTCTTGTTGTTCTTGTGTATAACCTAAACCCAGGAAAGACCCAATGTACTGTGGGAATTAGAGACCCATCTTGCTCCTAAACCTGGACCTCAAGCTCTTCTCCAAAAAGTTTGGGAAATCATATTTTCCCACTTCCAAGCTCATCTAATTCACAAAGAACAAGTAGTTTTAATCCCTGGCTATGGAGCTAGAAATACAACCTCATCTCTTACATACATAAGTACAATTCTCAGGCTTGTCTGTCAGTAGTCATAGAGAAATCATTTGACAGGGTTGACTGGAATTTGCCTGCTGCTTTCCATAGAACAAATAGGTCTTGGCCCTACCCTTATCTCCAAACTGATGTTCTTATATTCCTCTCTCTTGTCCTCAGAATCACAATAAATGGCTCCCTTTCAACCCCTTCCCTTTCCCCCGCCCCATGGCACCATGCAAAGTTGCCCATTCTCTCCTCTCGCTTTTGTGATCGTAATGGAACATCTGGTCATCGCCATTCATAAGAATGATTCCATTCAAGGGATACAAACAGATTCTTTCCACCTCAAAATGTCTCTCTATGCAGAAGACTTCTTTATGTTCAGAAGCCCCACATCAGCTTGCCATTAATCCTATCCAAATTTCACAGTTTCAGAGAGCTCAGCAACTTTAAGGTTAATAGCACCAAAACTAAGATAGCTTTAATCCAGTCATTTCCTAGTTTCCAGCAACCAAATAATCTAAAATAGGTTGGATATTGTTTAAACCCACTCAGAAAGACATTTACCAATCAATTTTTCATTGTGATGCATTACCCTTTTGTTGCCTTAAACCATAACCTTTGTGGATGTACTTATGGAAAGCGGGGGAAAAAAAAGTGTTTGTATTTTTTTTTTTTCCATAGCATCTATTAAAGAGGAACTGAACTCATATTGTCAAAATAACAACAGAGACACCCTTAGAAATGTTTAGTAATGACAATCTACAAACACATACTTCTAGATAATTGCTTATTCTTTGCATTCCTTATTTCTCTTTTCTTCCCCAGTCTTCTGACAGTGGCCATTTAACTTAGACAGATTACTAGATCTCCCTTTACTTCCTGGAAGTCTGGCACATGTGACCATGCACATCATCTCAGGAGAGGAAAATGCCTTTCCCTGAGATCTCATGACATTACCGATTAGATTTCCCAGCAATGTTCTCCTGATGTAACCTTCTTAAGATGCAACACTTGGGCACGATTACATCATTAGTGCCAAAGTGGACCAGGAAACAGAAAAAAAACAAGAAATTGTAAGTAAAATAAAAATATATTTGTTTAGCTAATGAATGTAAAATGATTTCATATCAGCATGCAGAGCTGTATACTGATGTGATTTTTAGTCAAAGGGGGTAAAGGTCCGCTTTAAGTATAAAAGCTGAATGTGACATGACCACAGCTAGAAGAACATTGCAGTTAAAATTGGGTTTCATGAATCAAATAATGTTATCCTGAACAATATGCTGGTTGGTGTTTACATCTTTAAAGAAACCTGAAGCTTGCCACTGCAAATCTCCTTATAAAAATGCTAGTTGCCTGTCTGTAATGCTGATTTTAATGATTCCAACATATCCTGGACCTCTGACCTAGAATAAGTATACAGCAAATAAAGTCAGACCAAAGTAAGAACTGCTGATCTGCATGCTTGTTCCAGGTTAGGGACTCACCCACAGGGCTGAATGAGATAAAACAATGTGTATGGCCAGCTTTACTGTTTTGTATTGTGTTACTTTATCACCCCTTAAATAACATTGTGGCTTTGCAGAGTCGAAGCAAATTAAAAATGATAATAGATTTATAAGATTGATATAATATTTACCTTCTTCTTTGCAGCTGTATGATAATACTAAGTTTGCTTGATCATCGACTTTATGAAGTGCTTCATATTTCTCTAAAACTCTTTGCAGATGAAAATCCTCATAAAATAAGGTATCCCTAAAACCAAAAGAAGGCAAATCTGTTTATAGAGAAATGTTAAGTAATGCAAAACTATAACAGGTATTCACACACCTAACAGGAGCACAAAGAAGAGGAATGGCTCTGCCCCACCTTATATGGGGTATATATAACTAGCAGAGGTCTAACTATTGTGTATTGTCCTCTGATCAAAGGATAAAGACAAAGTTTGAATTCCAGATTTGTTTACGTTCCTGAGCACTTAAGTCTAAAAGGTCAGAATGTGGTGCCCATGTTTGCACACTGTAACTGTGCCTAATGTTTATTCTGTCAATAGGAAAACATTTGTGTATTGGGAAAAATTTTAGACACTGTGCAAGGGCATGTATACCATGTATTGAAAGGAGGAGATCATTCTAATCTGCAGCCAGCTATACATTTCTAAATCAAATACAAATGAATTGTGTTTCTTTGGAACTTTCAGCCATGGCAACATTAGGTCCTGTGTCGATGAGCTTTGAGCTATTGTCAATAGGCGAATGCAGCTTGTTATGGGTATGGGTGACACAGGCAACCGCCAAGGTGCAGAGTCTAGGTGACAGCTTGGTCTTCACCAGAACACTACGCAAGGAGAGATGGACCAGTGACCCTAGTGGCCCCCGAGTTGCTTTGCTGTGAGCCGACACCAAGTTGCAGCCCTCAGGATTGCTCCACCAAGGGGTCAAAGAAGTAGAGTAGATATGTTGATAAGACAGGATGAGATGTGGAGGCAGGTGGCAAGCAAGAGAGTAGTGCCAGGCAATGTTGAGGCAAGTTGCAGGCAAGAGAACAATCAGAGTCCAAGCAGAGATTGAGGCATTTAGCAGGAAAGTGGAAAACAGAAACGGGCAGAGTCAGCAACAGGGACTGGAGATGGGAGCAGAGTCAGTTGAGTAATGAGTAATCAGAACAGCAATTCATGAAATATTTGTTAGAAAAGTGTATATGTATTTAGCTGGCAGATTCAGAAGTAAAGACATTGAGGGGTATTTTGTCTGAATTGATATGCAAACATCAGATGTTATAAAGGGGTGCATAAGAGCTTGAGAACAAAAAAATGTCATTGACCTTATGAAAAAGGGTGAGCAAACATTGGCTGCCATTCTGGGTCTTCATGCAAATGGTAGGAATTGTGTGTAAACCAGTTTAAAAAAAGGTCCAAAATGATGAGAAAACCTTTAGATCTTTATCTCCATACCAATTTTCTGCTTGTTAGGTGCTAGTTCTACACGTATAACCAAAGGCAGCTGGGATTATATTTACATTTAAATGATTACTTTACTCAAGCTTGAACTCCCACACTCCGTACCAAGTTTACTCAGTAGTAGTATAGAATTTCCTTTGCCTTAAAAGCTGAATTCTACGCAGAAATAAAAGACACAAATGAATGCTGCTCTGTAATCATTAATACACCATTAAATTATTTGTTAAATGCACACAGCCTAAATACCTGAATCTGACCTGGTATCAGCCTATTGCGGTCCCTATACAGCAGGGCTGGAGTGTGAGAGGAAAAAGCAGCACAAGAAGTGAATCGGTTCATATGATGACAAGAAGCATGCTGATAGGAAGACCACTGTCCAGTCCCAGGTCAGGGTAGGTTCAGGATGACCTAGGCTTAGAGGAAGTGGGTTAATTGATGCTGGTCATCAGACTGAGGACATCTAGTGTCAGAAAAAGACTGCGGGGGAAATCTCTGAAATAAATCTGAATATTGCAGCAAAACCTGGGTTTTTAATTTTATCTTTCATGGGCTATTTATTTAATCTTTTTACTTTTGTCTGCAGTCCTGCATTAAACAGTGGACTAGGACAAGACAATCTGTGTTTTTTGGAGACCATCATTGCTGTCAAACTCATGTAAGAGAATACGTGATTCATTTAGTATTTGGGCTCAAAACTAATATGAAGAAGTCTTTGAAAAGTGTATGTGGAAGATCAGGTTTCTTCAACTCACAGAGCATGTCAAAATTATTTTGTTATAGGTATTTTTTGGGTATAGGACTGTTTTATAGCTACACATGCATTTAATCAGTATGATTACTGGAAGATCCCTGATCACTTAGATATGGAATAAAATAATTACAACTAGCCCTCGGTTTCCGCGCCAGTTCAGTTTGCTCTGTTTTAAAATAACGCTCTTTTCGGCCGGTCACGTGACTGCGATTGCAACAGCAGAGTTGGTGCCATCTAGCGTATCCTTCCTCTGTAGACCTCAGCCGCGGAAGGATACAACTGTACAACTGCAAGTGGCTAAAATACTGGCAGTACTGTACAAAGTCTCTGGCGGCTGGATCGGGTCACAGGTGGAGGATCGTGGCTCAGGAAGGGGCTTTGCGCAGTCAAAAAACTGTGGACACCTACAGAGGTACACTTGAAGGTACGGTGGTGAACACTTGGAGATGCCCTGGTGGCACAGTGATACACATGGAGATACACACAGGCACAGAGACATGCTGGAGGCACAGGGGGTACACTTGGAGCTACAAAAGAGCATTGGTTTTTATTTGCAACCATTCCTTCAAGAACCTAACCCTCGTGTAAATTGAGGGCTACCTGTATATGAATATAAAGTAAAACCAATAATACGGTAATGGGGGCGTGGTTTGACGGCAGATGTAGCAGGAGCAGGCACCTCGCGCTCTCGCTGAACCTCCGATCGTATGCTTTACTGAAGGCTGATTTACAACCCCTGTCACGGCTGCTTGGTTCCGTTCCCTGGCTCTCACCTCCTTCAATGAATCAGCCTGTCTGCGAGTACCGTAGTCTGTCGGTTCTTTCATGCTGACGAGGCATTCCTGCTCTGCCTGTGAAACACCGGAGCCTGTCAGCGTCTTTCTTGGCTGATAAGGGAGTCTTACCATGCTGTCTCGGATTACAAAAGTTGCACTGCTGGCTGGATTCTTTTCTTAAAGGCATAGTAAACTACCAGTAAACCATCATACCAAACATTTCCTACAATTAGCATCTGTGACCAGGAAGAGTACGTGGAACCGAATGCACAACCAATAGCAAGTACCATCTCTTGTTTTCTGCTATTATTTTGATAAACACTGCTTGATGTCTGCATGATGTGACGCACCTACATTGACTTTTAGTATAATTTCAATCAATTAACATTGGAGTTCCCGTGACACTTACTTATCCAACTTGTTATCCTGAAAATATTCTAGTCATGTTTATATGATGGAATACAGGTTCATAGACTTTTCAGTTATAATTGGCTTGAAATAATTTTTAAGATAACTGTACTGTTCCCCTCCTGTCCATAATCATTATTCATTCACAACCCGTGTGCTTCTAATTTGAATTTATCAATTAACCTGCCAGCATCACAGAAAGTTTGTGGGAGTGTGGGATCATGACGAGGACAAAGAAGGATGGATCAGCAGGTGCAGGTGCAGGTGCTCCGGCTCCGCGTAGGCAGGATGGTACTGCCTCACCTTCACAGCGTACAGCACAGGACCGGCAGAAAGAGACAGTCAGCAGGCTGGAAAGATTCGCCCGAACGCCGGGTAAAGAGACCTGTACCATTACCAGAAAGAGTGGAGGAGGACCTGGAGAGGGGGAGGGGAGGGCTGTGAAAGGAACCCAGTCTAATGGAGAGGGTACCCAGGAGACAGAGGGTTCCTCTATTGCGGTTGAGGCACTGAATGGTATGCTTTCAACCTCCTCCCAGCAGCTGGTTTCAGGGGGAGAACCTGAGCCAACCCTGAGTACGGTGCTTAAAGCGGTACAGGGCTGTAGTGCATCATTGGATACTCTCACAGGACAAGTGCAGTGTATACATGGGGAGCTAAATATAATACGGCAGGAACTGCAGAAAACGAGAGAAAGGACTTTGGAGCTGGAAAACAGAGTCAGCAATCTGGAGGATGAGATTACTCCCATTAGGAAAGAAATGCAAGTGCTAATGGAGGGGGCAGCCACACATTTCTATAGACTGGAGGATATGGAAAATAGACTCCGAAGAAATAATATACGTCTAGTGGGACTTCCGGAAAGAACTGAAGGGAAAGATCCCACAATATTTCTAGAGAAATAGAGACCTTCGGTTCGGATACTTTTTCTAAATTATTTGCTATAGATAGAGCGCATCGGGTTCCAATGAGACCATTGGCACCTGGAAGCCCTCCCAGATCCATCATCATGAGGCTGCTGCATTATAAAGACCGGGACAATATTATAGCACAGTTAGAAGCAGGTATTATTTCCACACGGTCGGTATATCGTACATTTTCCTTGATGGCCAGGGTATGGAATGTTATGAAGGAGGTCATGGGATATGAGGGGTGTACTTCCCATACACCTATCTGGTACAATCTGGAATTGATAGAGTTGGCCAAGCTGACAGACTTTGATACCTGGATGGATAAAGGTTTACAATATGTTAAACAATTGATGGAAGGTGATGACCTGAAGACATTTCGAACTTTGAGGGAAGAGTTCGGTATCCCCAATTCTCATTTTTTGTAATTTTTGCAATTACGACATGCCTTAGAGGCTCAGCGCCGAATATGTCCGTTCAGCCTTATGAATACCCCGCTGGTACATATAGTAGCAAAATCTAACTATAAAAAAGGGTTATTTATAGTTATTACTATTACTAGTTATTTATAGTTCAGTTATGTGGATGTATAATCATGTTGTTGTAAATTACACTATTAATTATGTGGATGTAAATTATTATTGTTGATTGTCGGAAAAAATACTTTTTTTGAATAAAGAAGATTTAAAAAAAATAATAATAATACGGTAATAAAAGTAACAACACCTACCCTCCAATAACCATGATATGATCATCTATCTTAAATCTGTCAATGGCCAGCTGAAGACAAGAAACAGCACCCAGACGCTCCTAAATAGAAAACATTTTAGCTGAAATAAACACACACAAGAAATAAGGTTCTAGACTCAATTCCGGGAGCTTCCACACAAGCATACAGGTCTTTATGTTAGCCACGTGACTGACATTTTTCCCATTGACTGAAAATGACTGTCACCTTTTTTTAATAAAGATCCTTATCCTGGTGTATTGGCTTTGAGCACTGACCCTTTTGTATGTACTTATACAACAAAAATCATCCAAAGATTTCATTTAGTAATTTTTGATATTCCAAAAATCTGCAAGTTCAATTGCACAATAGGTGATCATGCTGCTTTAACCTGTTATATGCAAAGCCTAATAATTTTCTGGGAAAGTTCAGCTTGGCCTATGTTCCCAGGCCTCCATATTGGACTGTAATAGGTAGTAATCACATGGAACGGGACATTACCTACACCCTTGGGTCTACTGATTGTTTTGACATACAGTTTTTACTGTAAAATAGAAAGAAATAGAAATGTGTATTATTATCTTGGTTGTCACTGTTTATAAGTACATGCGTGTTGATAGTTGTTTCCTCATTACATTACTAGACTTTTTGTGTGTTTTATACAAAGGATCGTAACCTATGCACCAAAGTTGTCACACATTTACTGTGCATTTTTGGTTCTGCTTCAACATACCTCATTACTGGAAGTGCCATCATTAATAACTTGTACACAAGGGTAATTCTCTGCCCACTCCTTGAATTTTCGGTAGTATAATTCATTAGTCTGGAAAAGAAAAATACTGCATATACATGATCAGAAGGTAGATTATGTATTTTATTGTGTGGTAGTAAAACAACAATAATGCTAATCATAAATGCCAACAATAACCTGGAACTGACAATTGTAGACACCAAACTCAGGAGTTAAACCTTAAAAAATACATTCATGTACCCAAACTATTAACAAAAATGTATCTTATTTGTGTATCACTCAGCTGTAGATCTTCAAATCATCTCTGAATTCATGCTGACACTGTCCTTCCTTCTGGAGGATGGCTACTTGTGTTCCCCATGGTCCCTGTGTGTGTTGTAAAGTAGCCACCGCTCCAAGGTCACTCCCGTGATGGACTACAATCACAATACAAAATAGTAAACTGAACGTGAGATTGTAGTCCATCACGGAAGTGAGCTTGGAGCGGTGGCTATTTTACAACACACACAGGGACCATGGGAAACACAAGTAGCCACCCTCCAGAAGGAAGGACAGTGTCAGTACGAATTCAGAGATGATTTGAGGATCTACAGCCGATGATACACAAATAAGACACAGTTTCGTTAATAGTTAAGGTACTTGAATGCATTTTTTAAGATTTAAAGAGGAAGTTTACCCATATCTTCAAAACAACAACAAATGCACCTTTAGAAATGTTTAGTAAAGGTAATCTACAAAGAGATATTATCTAGATAATTGTCAGCTTTTTATTCTTTGCATAGCATCTTTTTCTTTTCCTTCCCTGAGTGGCCATTTTTACTGATGATTCTATCTCCCTTTACTTCCTGGAACTCTGGCACATGTGACTAGGACATGTGACCATGCACATCATCTCGGGAGGAAAATACCTTTCCCTGAGATCTTGTGAGATTACATATGAGATTTTCCAGCAATGCTCTGCTGATGTAACCTTTCCAGAATGCAATGCTTGGGCATGATTATATTGCTTTTGTCAAAGAGAACCAGGAGGAAGAAAACAAGAAACTGGAAGTAAAATTAAAAGTTTGTTTAACTAATGAATGTAAGATGATTTCATGTAAGCATGCAGAGCTGCATGCTGATGTGATTTTTAGTGAAAGCGGGCAAAGGTCCGCTTTAACTCCTGCGTTTAGTGTCACTTTGAGCTGACCGGCTTTGTCATGATTTGCGATACACACTTAAAAAGATTGAAATTGTTTTGATATAGTACTTTATATTACTATAGTGCTAAAGTATCGGAGGAATCCCCTGAACAGGGACCAAAATAAATCACTTCATAATTTAAAAAAACAAAACATAATTAGTCACCTTGATCCAGTTTAAACTCCTGGCACATCATTTTTCTGTAATGAAACAATGTAAAACCAGAGTTTGGAAGTCCTCCAACCTCAGCTATCAGTCAGACTATGACCAAAGAGAAGCTGTCTGCCAAGCTGAACAATACCATGGACAAATTTGTATAATATATCTTTATTATTTCTAAGTAAGCATCCTGTTAAGAGGCTCTCCCAGGAGGAAATACAATCAAAAACAGAAAATACAAATATTCGTAACTTCTTCCTAAAACAAACAACCACCATAAATTTTCCCATTAATACGGTGTGGATGGAGGGACCTCCCGCTGGGCCAAGCTTCAGTATCTTGCTAGTCGGTCCTGCCGGCTGTCAAAATGCCGGAAGAATCTGATTGGATGCAGGCATTGTTCAGGTATTTTCAGAGCCAGCGGGGCCGACTAGCAAGATACTGAAGCTTGGCCCAGCGGGAGATTCCTTCATCCACACAGTTTAGTGTAGATGGAGGATTCTGCTACACTTTTTCCATCTGACCATAGAAAATCTGCAGATAATCTATAGGTGTATGGGCAGCTTAATTCTCATCACCATCCTTCCACCTGTAAGTTGCCCTACTACTACGGGTTCTACATTACGCCCTGCTGCAATATTATTAACCCATATCTCCCCAACCCCCCTTTTTTCTCTATTCTCCCTGTTTATTGTCCCTTACCGGAGATAAGTTACACTATTCAGGCCTCATGCACATGGGCAGCCTGCGTAAACACAGCAGAGGTTACCTGGAAAATATGAACAACTTTTATTCTCCCCCAAATCAATTTTTCCTGTGCCTGGATGTTCCTGGTTTTAGCCATGTTTACATGCGGTTAGGCACGAAAAACTTGGCTAAATGAATCAAGGATGCAGAAAATTCTTGTTTGTGTAAACTGAGCTAGACTGAATGCACCTACACGCTGCTAAACGTCTGGGGGTGCTTTCAGCCATAGCAAAGCATTACATGCTTTCAGCTGCATTTAGAAATTAGCTTCATTCACCTGGATGCATGCATTTCCCATGTGCATGAGGCCTCTATCACATTTATGTGATATGCCACAACCTCCTTTTTGCAACACATTCAGGGGGTTATTGTGAAGTTGTGATATTAAAGGAGAACTATGGGGTTAGAGCTTTTCCCTATAGTTCTCCTTAGGGTAACGGGAGGACACAAACTAGCGTCCTCCTGTCACCCTAAGCTCAGTATACTGCGGGCTATAGCTCGCGGTATACTGAGACGCCGCAACTGAAGCGGATCCCGACAATTATGTCTGGATCCACCCAGCTGCGTGACTAACAGCTGGCTCTGCCTATCTAGAGGCAGAGCCAGCTGTACCCGCCCCCTCCCCTGTTCGTTTCGCCAGTCAGCGCTGGAGCATCGGAGGGGGTGATCCATCCCCTCCCCTGTCACAGCAGAGAGCTGTGACAGGATTGAGAGGTGAGAGAACGCCGGTATGTGTTCGCTCACTTCTCGATCTACTGAGCCGACCTGTGACAGTCTCATTGTCACAGGTCGGCTAGAACTATGAGGTGAGTGAAAATCACTCACCTCATAGTTCTCCTTTAATGATACCTCAATGTTAACACATTTTTGATTGAGGTATATGTTTACAATTTGATAGATTTCAAACTGGTGTTCCTTGTTTTTCTTATGTGAAAACCTAAAGTGACTCTAAACTCAGGAGTTAAATCTTGAACATACATTCATGTACCTTATCTATTAACACAAATGTATCTTATTTGTGTATCACTCAGCTGTCGATCCTCAAATCATCTCAGAATTTGTGTTGACACTGTCCTTCCTTATGGAGGGTGGCTACTTTTGTTCCCCATGATGTTGTAAAGTAGTCACCGCTCCAAGCTCATTCCCGTGACAGACTACAATCTCCCGTTTAGTTTACTAATTTGTATTGAGATTGTAGTCCATCACAGAAGTGAGCCTGGAGCGGTGGCTACTTTACAGCACACACAGGGACCATGGTGAACAAAAGTAGCCACCCTCCAGAAGGAAGGACAGTGTCAACACAAATTCTGAGATGATTTGAGGATCGACAGCTGAGTGATACACAAATAAGATACATTTTTGTTAATAGTTAAGGTACTTGAATGCATTTTTAAAGATTTAACTCCTGAGTTTAGTGTCACTTTAACGAACTCTTAGGGGTTAATTTATAAAAATGATTCTATAGCACCATCTAGGGACACTAGTGCTGTGTGAACAGAATCCATCCAGCTATACACCAGATTTATAATGAAACCCTTATTTTAGGGAGAAAAAAAAATGTAAAAATGCTTCCTTAGTCTCTACTCTACTATACAAATGGTGTTATATGTACCGTAAGTGGAGAAGACATAAAATGACTAGGAATGAAAGTAGTGCGCAGACGCTGGTGTATGTATTATATGCTTTTAGACTCCAGCAAGATAAACATCACATTACAGGATCAGCTGGGGGATTAGGAGGGTTATTGTTGAAAGATGCAGTGAGTTGATACCAATACAGTGTAGGAGTCGTCAGCATATACCAGGGAATGGCCATTTTAACCCTACAGCTATGGAATAAATACTTTATTATTCACAAAGGCATAGAAATTAAATATTCATACCCATGAACGAGTGGGAAAAAGACACAATATTAACCAGAGCCTGTAAGCGAGAGCAGTGTGGGAATTAACAAAGGGACAAAGTTAGTTTTGTGGTGTAAAAGTTGGCACATCTTCCTTGTTACTATATGGTACCACCAGCCGCACCAAATCATGTTAAAGTGCTGTGTGACCTTTTCTGTAAGAGTCCATTCACATGGAAGGCCAGAGAGGTGCAGTAATGCAGGAAGGAGAGAAGAGTGTGATGTGTCCAGAGGGCCAGAGAGGTGCAGCAGTGCAGGAAGGAGAGAAGAGTGTGATGTGTCCGGAGGGCCAGAGAGGTGCAGCAGTGCAGGAAGGAGAGAAGAGTGTGATGTGTCCGGAGGGCCAGAGAGGTGCAGCAGTGCAGGAAGGAGAGAAGAGTGTGATGTGTCCGGAGGGCCAGAGAGGTGCAGCAATGCAGGAAGAGTGGGATGTGTCCGGAGGGCCAGAGAGGTGCAGTAATGCAGGAAGGAGAGAAGAGTGGGATGTGTCCGGAGGGCCAGAGAGGTGCAGCAATGCAGGAAGAGTGGGATGTGTCCGGAGGGCCAGAGAGGTGCAGCAGTGCAGGAAGGAGAGAAGAGTGTGATGTGTGTGAAGGGCCAGAGAGGTGCAGTAATGCAGGAAGGAGAGAAGAGTGGGATGTGTCCGGAGGGCCAGAGAGGTGCAGCAATGCAGGAAGAGTGGGATGTGTCCGGAGGGCCAGAGAGGTGCAGTAATGCAGGAAGGAGAGAAGAGTGTGATGTGTCCGGAGGGCCAGAGAGGTGCAGTAATGCAGGAAGGAGAGAAGAGGGGCATGTGTGCGAAGGGCCAGAGAGGTGCAGCAGTGCAGGAAGGAGAGAAGAGTGTGATGTGTGCGAAGGGCCAGAGAGGTGCAGCAGTGCAGGAAGGAGAGAAGAGTGTGATGTGTCCGGAGGGCCAGAGAGGTGCAGTAATGCAGGAAGGAGAGAAGAGGGGCATGTGTGCGAAGGGCCAGAGAGGTGCAGCAGTGCAGGAAGGAGAGAAGAGTGTGATGTGTGCGAAGGGCCAGAGAGGTGCAGCAGTGCAGGAAGGAGACGAGTGTGATGTGTCCGGAGGGCCAGAGAGGTGCAGTAATGCAGGAAGGAGAGAAGAGGGGCATGTGTGCGAAGGGCCAGAGAGGTGCAGCAGTGCAGGAAGGAGACGAGTGTGATGTGTCCGGAGGGCCAGAGAGGTGCAGTAATGCAGGAAGGAGAGAAGAGGGGGATGTGTGCGAAGGGCCAGAGAGGTGCAGCACTGCAGGAAGGAGAGAAGAGTCGGATGTGTGCTGAGAAACACAGAAGTGGTGCAGCAATGCAGGAAGGAGAGAAAAGAGGGGGATGTGTACGTAGGGCCAGAGAGGTGCAGCAAGGAGAGTAGGAGGACAAAATTATTATTATTATTATACAGGATTTATATAGCGCCAATAGTTTGCACTGCGCTTTACAATATAAGGAAGACATTACAGTCACAATACAATTCAAGACAAGATGGTAAGGAGGGCCCTGCCCGTGAGGGCTTGCAAAATGGAGGAAGATCCCAGTGGAAAATTAGCTCAGATTTGTGTCAACATTTTGGCGCACTTGAATCGGACGTAACACCACCACTTAACGATTTGCCATGTGCCACTTTTATCAGTTTGTTCCAGGAAGTGGCATATAGAAATTGGCGCATTTCTTGGTGTGCGCCAGTCTTTGTTAATCCCCCAGATATGCCTACAACACTCTGGAAAAGCACCAGGGACAGGAAGAGGACACCTTATCACCATAAGAGCCAGGACTACAATTAGTGTCAGGGAGAAAGTAGGACAGGAAGAGGACACCTTATCACCATAAGAGCCAGGACTACAATTAGTGTCAGGGAGAAAGTAGGACAGGAAGAGGACACCTTATCACCATAAGAGCCAGGACTACAATTAGTGTCAGGGAGAAAGTAGGACAGGACTATGAAGACCGAGACTGGACAACTACTGGGCTGCAGTCACACCTCAGCATGACCATTTTGAGCTTCAGGAGTTGAGCTACAGGTGTCTCAGCGCTCACATGTGAATAGTCTCCATTTAGGGCCTGTTCACACCAAATCCCTGCATTAACCACACAGTTTTGTGCGATTAACACACGCTACCACACACTTATAGTGTGGAAGGTGCATTGTGTTGCCATTCATTTGAATGGCATCCTAAACACGCCTCCCGTCCACAATGCCATCAACCTCTCCACAATGTGCAGTACCGCAATGCCATGTCCCGTCCCAGTGTGAACGGGGATTTTTGTTGTTGAGCATTTTGGAGTTAATCAGAGCTTATTGCTAGTACCAGTCAGCAGACCCGATTTTAGGATTACTGTCACTACACCCAACAACTGAACACTCATAGGTACATAATCAATAATATGCACGTAGAAGTCACAGACTAACTTCAGGAGCACACTTACTAAAAATGTTTTTATCTGAGCGGTTGTAGTAAGATTTCATACAAACAGTACCACAGTCACTAGATAAAATCCATCATTTATTACACATTAAGATATTATGCAGTGTTTGAAAATAATCATATACCAATAGCAATAATAATGTTAAAGCTGAACTCCGGGCACAAATACTTTCATTTAAATATTTACCTCAACCCACTGTATGTGCACCAAATACCTTTGTGAACCCAGTTATTACATTGTAAAAGTAGCCAGGACTTCATCATTGTACTGCATATAGTCTGACCGCAGAGCCATAGGAGGGACCCAGCAGGCCCCACCCACTACAGGCTGCCTGCGGAACACTAGAGGAGGGGGCAGATACAAGACCAGTCACCCTGCACAAGGGAAGAGAGCAGCAGTGGCCGGTCTAAGAAAGCTCCTGCACAGCGACAAAGCTTCTCCCTGGATTACTGCACAGATCTGGAAGAAATACTCAAAGCACACCAAGATCCAAGTAACAATACACAGGCCTCTTGTATTACAGGAGAACTATGGGGTGAGGGTTTTTCTCCATAGTTCTCCTCAGGGTAATGGGAGGACATAAACTAGTGTCCTCCCATGACCCAAAGCTCAGTATACCGCGAGCTACAGCTCGCGGTATACTGAGACCGCCGTAGCCGGGACGGATCCCGACATTACTGTCGAGATCCACCCAGCTGCATGATTGACAGCTGGCTCTGCCTATCTACAGGCAGAGCCAGCTGTACCCTCCCCATCCCCCGTTCATTCCTCCAGTCAGCGCTGCAGGAGCAGGGAGGGGGAATCGCTGCAGGGAGCCGTGAGTCACAGTCACTGCTCTCTGCAGGGACAGGATCGAGAAGTGAGCGAGCGAAGGTATGTGTTCACTCACTTTCCGATCTATTGAGCCGACGTGTGACAGTTTCATTGTCACACGTCGGCTTGAACTATGAGGTTGAGTGAAAATCACTCACCTCATAGTTCTCCTTTAAGACAATACTTGCTTATGACGGAGTTCAGCTTTGAGGGACACAATATAAAAAGTTAACTTACAACTACAAAAATGTTCTGTGTGTCATCGCTTGCTTTCAAGGCCTCCACCCAATAAGAAATGAGAGGAAGCTTGCCAATTGGGAGTAATGGTTTGGGTACACCTGCCAGCTTCGCATATTGCTCTTCCTTTGCTTCCTGTAAATCTTTAAGAAGTCTTGTGCCGTAACCAGCAGCCAGGATGACGACTTTCATTTTGACCCTAAAAACAAATAAATATGACCAGTAAGTAAGTGCATGCCTTTTCTACATGTTTTCATTCAACACTTTCATCTAACCAAATTAAAGTTTAGCCTTTGTTAAAGTGTACCTGTCATAACCAATTTACACAGACTGGGGGAATTTCTAAAAACTGGAACAGACGGAATCTGGAGAAGCTGCCCATAGTAACCAATCAGCTTCTACCTTCCGTTTCTTCAGTTAAAGTGACACTAAACTCAGGGGTTAAATCTTAAAAATACATTCAAGTGCCCTAAGTATTAACAAAAATGTATCTTATTTGTGCATCACTCATCTGTAGATCCTCAAATCATCTCTGAATTGGTGCTGACACTGTCCTTCCTTCTGGAGGGTGGTTACTTTTGTTCCCCTTGGTCCCTGTGTGTGTTGTAAAGTAGCCACCGCTCCAAGCTCACTCCCGTGATGGACTACAATCTCATGTTTAGTTTACTAGTTTGTATTGGGATTGTAGTCCATCACAGGAGCGAGCTTGGAGCGGTGGCTACTTTACAACAAACACAGAGACCATGGGGAACAAAAGTAGCCACCCTCCAGAAGGAAGTACAGTGTCAGCACCAATTCAGAGATGATTTGAGGATCTACAGCCGAGTGATACACAAGTAAGAAACATTTTTGTTAATAGTTAAGGTGCCTGAATGCATTTTTTAGATTCATCACCTTTAGTGTCACTTTAAGCTTTAAAAATGAAAGTGAGAAACTGATTGGTTGCCATGGACAACTGCTCTAGATTATGTGTGCTGTGTAGTTTTAGCACATGCAAAATACAATATTTGTGTTCTATTAAAATACTTCAGTCTGGAGAGCAATTGCAGAAGTTGAAGCCGACTACAATAGTACCATACACATTGTTTGCTGTCAATCTGTCATGGGATTACATAATTATAATGACATCGATTAGGCACAAAACACGATACAATCACTTACATGTGTTGTCTGAACAGGTCTTAGGACAAAATTTCACAACTTCTTCCACAAGCTCTCTGGCTAAGCTGGCCAGTGTTCTATTCTACACACGAAGAATGTCTTCTCCCAGAGGTAAAATCAATGACATCAAACCTGTCCGCACTACAGGAGCCATTTTGAAGAAGACAAGGAAGTGACGTAGCCGCAGCACTTGTACTTGGGTTGCTTAGCAACAGAATAACAAGCAGGGCTGAGTTCGTACTGAGGAGGGACCTTGCAGAATCGGATCTGCGTTCCCCAGGACTGGATCTGGCAGGTGTTTGCTGTCTTTTGGAAAAGCTGAAGTAAGATTATAGTTTCGGTAACGTTTGGATTATGTGGAGTTGCTGTGTTTACGAACTGGACGTTATCTTTAACCCCTTCATGACTGAGGCCTTTTTTTCATTTTTTGTACCCATGTTATATTCCACATTTTAGGCCTGGAAATTACTTAAAACCCCCCAACATTATATATTTTCTGAATGCCAAGACCCTATAGAATAAAATGGTGGTAGTTGCAAATTTTTATGTTGCGCAATATTAGCGCAACTCCTTATTAAACCCCAATATTTAGTGAAAAATTTAATTAAATGCCCCAAAACACAACAAAATACCAATTTTTCAAATGAAATATAAAAGATGAGGTTACAACGAGTAAAACGATACCCAACATGCCCAGGTTACAAATTGCGTGCATCCGTAAAACGGCGAAAAACCCCAGTACCCCAAAAAGTCCATAGAAGACGCTTTAAAAGCCCCCACAGGTCATCAATTTAGAGATACCCCAAAATACTGGCCCTAGAATTATTGCTCTCACTCCGGCGTGCGCGGCGATACCCAACATGTGTAGCGCGTTTGTGGTTTTCATACGTAGGCGCACCCGACGCGTCTTCTTCGCCAGGATCGCTTCTGTTGTAAAGCCGACAGTTGGCTCTACAAGTTTAAACAGAGTCCCGGTGGCAAAAGTCACCGGGAATCTGTTTAAACAGCCCCGATCTGCATCTCAGACGGATGCAGACCGCAGAGCTGCTCCAGTCAGCTCTGTCAGTTATGAGCTCCGCCGAATGATGAATCCTTAGTAAGGTCTAGTGCAGACCTTACTAATGATCACCGCTAGTCAGTTTGGTGTCATCACTGCACTTGTGCTCCATTGAGGACTACAAGTCCCCTGCCGTAGTGACTGATTGTTTTTTCATATATGGATCCTGTGAATGGATCTGTAAATGAATGACACAGCTGTACAGGCGGAGCCATGTTTAGTCATGCCAAATTCAGATGTACACTGAAGCCTGTAGGGGGAAGCACCCTGTGATTCAGGCACCATGTCCCATGTGACACCATAGATATGGGTAAAACATGAGACATGCTATTATGGAGGGATTAGGCTTTAAGTAAACTAAATCTAAAAGAAAGCTAAATGCAGTACAAAGGTGTAGGTTGTTCTGTAGCTGGTACTTTGCTGCAAGAATCCAGAACTCGAATGCTCATTGTGACCACAATCTCTTTGAATCAAAAGCCATCCATGTAACCAAACTAAACTTAGTTTAGGGCTGCTTTATTTTGGTGAACCAGGTTGCTAGTAAGGGAGAAACCGCAAAATTACTCATCCACTCCCTTGTTATCTCTCGTCTTGACTATTGCAACTCCCTCCTCATTGGCCTTCCACTACACAGGCCATCCCCCCTTCAGTCTTTCATGAATGCAGCTGCCAGACTCATCCACCTAACCAACCGTTCAGTGTCTGCCACCCCCCTCTTTCAATCCCTCCACTGGCTTCCACTCGCCCAAAGGATAAAATTCTAAATACTAACAATCACCCACAAAGCCATCCATAACTGTGCCCCGGCTATATCTCAAACCTTGTGTCAAAGTATCACCCTAACCATCCGCTCATCCCAAGACCTCCTGCTTTCCAGCTCCCTCGTCAACTCCTCCCATGCTCGCCTCCAGGACTTCTGTAGAGTTTCTCCCACCCTCTGGAACTCTTTACCCCAACCTGTCCGTCTGTCTCCCACCTTGACTGCCTTTAGGCGTTCCCTAAAGACTCATCTCTTCAGGGAAGCCTATTCCACCTCGAACTAACTGCTCAACCATCACGTTCTCAAATATTCATCCCCACACAGCTCCCCCCTCATGTATCACTTCTCGCTCCCATTTAGATTGTAAGCCCTCAGGGGCAGGGCCCATCTTACCATCTTGTCTTGAATTGTATTGTGATTGTAATGTCTTCCTTATATTGTAAAGCGCCGCACAAACTGTTGGCACAATATAAAACCTGTATAATAATATAATAATAATAATCATGAACTCTGAAAATCATTATTGGGCTTGCTGTAATGCACCCCATTCTAAATATACCCATATTACTATGCTAATTTATGAACAACCCAGAACAGTCCCATTTTAAAGGAGAACTATGAGGTTAAGGCTTTTCCCCATAATTCTCCTTAGGGTAACGGGAGGACACAAACTAGCGTCCTCCCGTCACCCTAGGCTCAGTATACCGCGAGCTGCTACTCGCGGTATACTGAGACGCCGCAGCTGAAGCGGATCCCGACAATTATGTCTGGATCCGCCCAGCTGCGTGACTGACAGCTGGCTCTGCCTATCTAGAGGCAGAGCCAGCTGTACCCTCCCCCGTCCGTTCCGGCAGTCAGCGCTGGCGGATCAGAGCGGGGAGGGGGGAATCCAGCCCCTCCCCTGTCACGGCAGAGAGCTGTGACAGGATCGAGAGGTGAGCGAACGCCGGTATGTGTTCGCTCACTTTCCGATCTACTGAGCCGACCTGTGACAGTCTCATTGTCACAGGTCGGCTAGAACTATGAGGTGAGTGAAAAGCACTCACCTCATAGTTCTTCTTTAAACAACCTTGAGGTTTATGAAATGTTAATTAAACCTCTCAAGCCTTCCTACTATGAACCAGGAGGAGCTACATTCCATGCAAACGGAAAAAAATCAGATTTGCATAGAAATTCAGCTGCTTATATCTCCGGATTTTCTAATTGTTTTGACATGCAGTTGCCATTGAAGATATCACTGATTATTCATGTATTCACTATGCAGATACCTTCCCTATGCCGTATGGTAAAAAATCTATTAATGTTTTGCTGTATATTTCTTATTCAGTTTATCATCTTGTATGAACTTTAATGTATATGCTTTTTTCTTTTTTTAGATTCCCATAAAGATACCTGGATACAAAAGCATCTCTTATGTTGTTATCATTATAATGTGAAAGGCCGTGAAATGAATGGATGTCTTCAGTTTACATTGATGGGTATTACTGAGGTTATACTAGCCATTGTTACTGCAATTCCTTAGTATACAGCTTGAAAATGTTACGGACGGTCAAGAAAAACATAAAAAGTTCTGTGCCACATGAAGACTTTATGGCTGAAATGACAGTCCAGAGAAATGCCAATGCATTCTTTGACAGATTTGACAGAACTGATTTACAAGAACTTTTGGCCCATACCATCTCCAGCTGGCTTGTGTCTGTAGATGATGTTCACCTACCTCTCCAACTTCCTAGCGGTTTGATAACTCAGCTGAAAAATTTCACCAAACCAAATGTTCTACTTTTAGTTCCAGTTGACAATGATGTCTCTTTGGATTGTCGCGAGGTTCACCAGATCCTGAGGGAGCTTGTTTTTGGAATTTACTGTTTTCACCAAGTGCCATCAATCTCCCTCGATGCCAACTATGACAGCAGTACATCATGCCAGTTACCCCCTGCATACTATGACACTCGGGTAGGGCAAGTAATGATCAGCGTAGATTACATGATAAAGGCTCTATGGCATGGTGCCTACATGTCAAAGGAAAAAAGGACAAGGTTCTCTGAGATTTGGAGATCTGTCATGGACATTGACCCAAATGGACATCCTCAAACTAAGAAAAACATTTTTTCAGAGTTCTCTTCAGCAGGTAAGCATTTTCTTCTAAGCCATTAAAAGTTACGCTACTGTGCCAATGATAAATAATGTACTACAGATCAATGGTACAACAATGTTTCTTTTACAATTTAATGGAACCCCAAAATTTCTATTGCTCACTTCTTCATTTTTAAAGTCAATGCTGCATATGAACTCTGGTACTGCTGACAACCAGTCAACTATACTGGAGCTCTATAAGCATCTACATGTCCCTGTACCCCTTTTAAGATTAATAAATGTTCTTAAAGTGACATTAAAGGATACATTTTTTCCCTCCCCCCCATGTTAATGTAAGCACTTACCTTAAATGATGCCTCTTAATCCGATCTTCTTCTTTCCTGATGTTTTCATCTGTCCCTCCAGCGGTGCGGCGGCTCTCTGATCCAGCGCTGACTCCTCTCTGCTTGCTGGCACTTCTGATCCCACGGTGTCTGCATGTGGGTGCACGCGTCCAGAGACTTACCTTGCGTCTCTGCTCGTCTCCCGGCCGAGAATCCGAACTGCGCATGCGCCTGCCCAAAGATGCTTTGCGGCCGCCCGAACAGTTTCGTTTTCTCGGGCGGGAGCGCGCAGCGAAAGTAAGTAAGTTTAATCCGCTGTTAAAGCGGGGTTTTTAAAAACAAAACTGTTTGCCTATATCTACTGCTTGATAGCAGTAGATATAGGCAAAACAACTGGAGGGTTTAGAACCCCTTTAACTGTGCCTGCCACAGCCATAGTATACAGGACTCTTTTCCTTTTAACGTGAGACCTATATACTTTTAGGACGGAAGCTCCTGGCACAAGATGAGGAGAGTTTGCAGCGTGTATGGGTTAGGTTTTTAAGCTGAAGTTTATTCTGCTTATATTTTGTCTTCCCTGGTTCCTCTTTTCCTCATCATCAACATGCTACTGACATTTTTAAACAAAAATGTTTTCATAGTCACTACATACCGACAACACATATAATGCTCAGCACTAAATGTTATAAATAAATCTTATAAAATTCCCTTATAAAATCTATACAATACAAGGAATAAAATATGAAGAGGTGAAGTCCACTAGTGCATTCAGTGATTAGTATTGTACAACGTAAGGTGCAAACAAAAGTTTCTTGATATAGGTATGTGTAAGATATCTTCAGATGACACCTCTCTGTGTGCGAGCCAACCAACATAGACCGCACTCACCAGATTTGTTGGACCATTACATATAAAATGGTCATATCACATTCAAATTAATGATAAATATTCTTCCACCAGGGCTCTGTTCCTCTCCCGTCCACATTCCTCTTCTCCTCTCAGAACCAACAGACCGCTCATGTAACATTGGAAAAAATCCATGGCGTAATCCAGTAAAATAGATCAAAAACTAGAGGTGCACCGAAATTTAAATTTTAAAAACTAAACCGAAATGGTTTATGAAAAAAAAATATGTTGTACTGAAACCAAAACTGTTTGTTTTCTACCTTTTTCAAAAATGTTCAAAACATTTTATTTATTTTTTATAAACTTTTTATTTTTGTTATTTTATATTTATTCATTTTTATTAAATATTTTTATTTTCTACTTTACTTTTTGGTGCTTCGGAGAAATATTGGGGGACTAAACCCCTGATATTTCCCTTTTAAAATAGAAAAAGAGATTGAGAGCACAGAGTCCTCAATCTCTTTTTCTGCAGCCCCTGTTATAAATGAACAGGAAGCCTCTATACTGAGTGTTCCTGTTCATTGACAACATGAGGACAGAGTGTGTTTACTATAACCACAATCATGAATGAAAAGGAGGTGATGTAGAGCACTTCCCATTCATTCATAATTGAGGATATAGTAACCATACTCTGCCCTCAATTATTTACAAACACTCAGCGATCGCTCTCCTTCCTGACACGCTTGTCACAGGAGGCTAAGCGAGCGGTGCGGGGAGGAGAGCTTGATCTGACAGCCGACTCCTCCCCCGCACCAGCGACAGCGCTGGCTGTCTCCGCCCACACAGCCGCTCTCCTGATCTGTCACAGGAGGTTGAGCGGTGTGGGGAGGAGAGATGCCGGCCGTTCACAGCGCTCTCCTCCCGCAGTAATGGAGAAATGGAGGAATTAGAATTTTTTTATTTTTTTTTATATATGCAATATCAGAAATTTGGTGAAATGTGTTTGTTTAAAAGCCTAGTCTAGATCTCTTCAGTCATTAGGATGTATACGGCTATTTGATAAAAGAACTGTGCAGGATAGTTCACCTTTGTCATTGTTTCTTGGATAGATCTAATCGATATTTCCAGTGAACCAGACTTTGATGGCATATACTCACATAGCTTTGACTTGGATCCAACTTATGAACCAAATAAACAAGAAGAAAAAAACCTCTTTATGCAATATGCGAACAACATGACAATAAAGATGACGTGCTTTACTGCTCAGGTGCAGCAGTACGAGAACTTGTTTGTATATGATGCCTCATACATGTTGTCGAATGTAATAAGACTGACAGAGGAATACATGGACTCTGCAACATATCAGCGTCTCCAACAGAGGCTAACCATTCATCAGAAGCTTGTGAAAGAAAATCTCGAGAAAAAAGCAGAAATACGCAAAAACATTGCCTACCTGAAACTCATCAGTTTTCTCGTGCCATATTTACTGGGAATGAAAAAGAAGATGAAAGTGCCAGATCTCAGTCGCCTTTTACAACCATACTCTGGTGAGTTATTTTGACAATGAAAAAATATATAAACAATATTTGATGTTTACAATTTGCTGTTCCATACAAATCGTTTTTTAGCACGTTTTTCCGGTATGATTTTTTTTCCCCTTTATTTTCTCTATTTTTTAAAATTGTTTTTTTTTTCACTTTTAAACTTCCCGCCGGCTCCGCCCCTGACCTGTACGCTGTATTCCCGAGTGTGGCTCGGGGTACCGCTTTGTTAACCCCGATCCACACTCGGGAATACCAATGGATACGCACGGCAAATATGCCCCAAAGAAGCTCCGGTACTTCTTTGGGCGTAGGGCGTTTTTCAGTGCGTTCCTACGCGCTGTAAAACGCCCAGGTGTGAACCAGGCGTTACTTTTTAGTTTGACCTTTATCGTGAGACATAACTGTACACAGCAAGCTACAAATCTTTCTACCAATACACAGAATCGAATCCAGTGTTGTAAAAGACCTTAAAGCTATTTTAACAAGTGGAGCAATTCGATTTCTACAAAAAATTTTTTTAATGGACTTGTATTTTTGGGAAATAACAGTTATATTTTTAATTTAGTAAGAGCAGAGGCGGCTCTAGACTTTGCGAGGCCTCAGGCGAAAGTTAGGTGAAACTTACATGAGGCCCCGCTTACAACCATGATGGAAAATTGATGGCTGTGTGGGGTTTTAGGAGGCTGTGCTTTTTATTTTAATTTTTTTAATTTTAGTTTAACTTTATTTGTAAAACAAATTTCAATTTTTTATTTTAAAATTATTTAATTTTTTTACCTTATTTTTTTGTATTTTTCATTTCAGTTTATTTTAACTTTTTTGTATTTTTTTGCATTTTTACTTTTTATTTATTTCATTTGTTTGCATTTTTCATTTCAGTTTATTTAACTTAATTTTGTAAAACTTTTTTTGTTTTTTTTAACTTTATTGCTGGGAGCATTAGCCAGCCTGCTATTGGATATTTCAAATTGCAATAGCCAATAACAGGCTGGCAATTGCATCTGCCTGCTGTCAATCAGCAGAGGAGGGTCCTGAAGCAGAAAGTTCTCCATCAGGTCCTCCTGTGCTGATTGACATCATGTAGTGGGCGGGTGCAATAGTCAGCCTGTTATTATGCTATTGCAATTTGAAATATCCAATAACAGGCTGGCTATTGCTGCCAGCTGCTGGAATGGGGACGATCGCAGCTGACAGAAGCGCAGCGCGGAGAGGTGAGTAGACGGGACGGGGGACGAAACTCAGACTGTCTGAGGTTTCTCCTTACAGGCTGTAATCGGCTGCCTGTCCCCTCTGACACAGACCAATGCAGCCGATTACAGCCTGTAACGAGAAATCTCCGACAGTCTGCAGGGACAGTGCTTACATCTCTCCAGGAGCATTAGGAGCTCTGTCACATCCAAGCGTGCATCGCAGCCACCGAGCATCTCATGATGAGATGAGATATTCGGCGGCTGCAATGCACTCTTGGATGTGACAGGGCTCCTAATACTGTCTGCGCACAGCAGCGCTGAGGTCCCCTGTAATGTGTTAGGCAAATTAGGCGGCTGCGAGGCCTTAGGCAACCGCCTAATTTGCCTAATTCGAGAGCCACCTCTGAATAAGAGTCACCTTTCTCTGATCTTCCGTGTGTGTGAGATAGCAGTCAGCGTGATAGTACGCCGCCTGTCACTCACACTGCCCTTCTTTAATGGAAGCAAGGACTCTCCAAAATATCTGCAGCCTGCTAACACTTTCTGGCATGACAAACCTGCTGCAAGGCAAAGCATAACATATCTGGTGGGTGAGTTCGGCTCACAGTTGTATCCATTTCACCAGCCCCGATAAAAGAGGCTTCTTTGACTGCAGAAACAAATTGACATGATCATGTTTGCAGGCATTTTGCTAGGTACGGCAGGACATGAGAGCTGGTTGGTTATGGGGCTGAACAACAAATTTTAACATAGGAGCGAGGAGCCAGGCCTAAAAATTCTGGTCAATTATTGAAATGGTTCTCTAGGTCCAGGTCATATTGACCAACCACATATGAGCTGTAGTAGAGTTGAGTGGCTCATCTTCACAGATTACTTGCTTCATTTGTGAGAATCCTCCATAATGTTAGTAGAAATAACTCAGCACACTAAATATTAAATGAAGTGGGCCCTAGGTCAGTACTGGAAAGTGAAGTCTCTTCCACAAAAGCCATAATGTACAGTTATACAGAAAGTACTCAGATATGTTCCTTAGCATTCAATAAATCTGTACAGTCGAGAAAGGGCCTAGGACACAGCTGGCAGTTTAATTTAAAAGCTAGAAATCCAACTCCCTTAACATTTTGGCAGATTGGCCAGCACAAAGTCACCGATTGGCAAGTTGAGTGGGTGGGGCCATGCACCACAGTAGAGAATTATCCATATTATACATGCTATGTAACCATTTTGTCAAGAGGGGAATCTCGGTCAAAGTATCCCAGCCTTTAAAGGCGACCGGAGGTATTGACAGGGATGTCATCACAGATGATTAAACGATTCCAGAATAAACTGAGGGAAGAAGGGAGAGATAATTGACAGGAGATAGTGGCGGAGAAGGGCGCGAGATGTTTACTGTGATTTAGGGCAACAAATGGCCACCCTCAGGAGTCTCCATCTATTCTTTAGCAGCCCGGGCCCCTTACCAGGGTCCGGAACCCTGCAACTAATGGATTCTTTTAGTCTAGTAGCAAGGCAGTATCTACTAGAAGTAGAGGTTAATCAGATGTCACCTTATGTGGAGAAGGTCATAATTCATTTGTATTCCATCGTTGTTTCCAGTATGTGCAGGTGAGAGTGTATTTAGTTAGTCTGTTCACGTTAAATGAATGAGTTCCTCCATGTGTGCTATTTTAAGTCTCATAAACCAGTCTTTTATTGTAGTCAATATTACGAACCTGGTCTGGGAGACTGGATGGTTGAGGAGGCTTCCCTTGCACCTCGTGTCTAAAAGCCTTTGAGGATGGTGACAGAGGCCAGGCAGACACCGAGTGGCACGAGTGCCAGTAGTTATGAAACCGTGCAAGTAGAAGGGTAATCCAGAATTCAAAGTCGAGGCAAGCCGAGGTCAAAATCCAGGAGGTCAGTTGCAGTACCGAAGGAAGAGGCAGAAGAATAATCAAAACAGTCCAGGGTCAAAAAGGCAGGCGGCAGTCAAGGCAGGTAGTGGAGGCAGGAACGGGTCAAAATCCAGGCAACGGCAATCTAATATTCAAGACAGGAAACAGGAGACACAACACAGACAGGAGCTGATAAGACAATCCAGCAAGTAAGTGACAGGCTGGCTTGGTTTAAATAGGGAAGTGAACTAATCAATTATGTCACTTCCTGTGCGCCTTTGGCACATTTTTCTTAGAACACGCTCCATCTGCGCATCACTTCCTGTGCGCCATCCTGCGCGTCTTTCTGTGGGAAGTGGTCGTTGTGCGCATGCGCGTATTCTTCTGCCTAGCGGTACTTGGCGCATGCGTGGAACGGGCATGGTGCTTACAGTCAACCAACTAACAGGTATACAAATCCTGGCTGCACTAACCATATGCTTACACAAAACCGAAATTGATGTTTACCAGTGGTGTGGGGAATGGTATCAGAGTTGGGGTATAAACTAGGTTATAGCTAGAAACGGTAGAAGTAATGTAAAGTACTTCCACTCAGACCTTGTGTATCACAGGACACTGCCATATGTAGTCGTTTCCCTTCTTCATTCTCACATCTCCAGAAGTGGTCATTCACTTTTTGGAAGATTTTATGTATGGTATTCTGTACCACTGTGAGTGCAATTTATAATTTATTTTACTGGACAGATACATTTATTAAGCATTTGCTTATCATGGTATTCACTGATTCCCATTCTTCCTCCATCAGTGTAAGGCCTAACTCTTTTTTTTTTTCTATGCCTTGAACACCATACTAGCATTAGGGAGTTGATTATTAAACATACATAGGTACTGTAAGTGGTGAAGGTTAGGTGCCTCTAAGAGGAACCCATGAGGCATAGAGTCTCTTATGTTGTGTGTGTCCTTGTGTGAAGAGGTCTTGGGATTTGTTCAAGAAATGACTGATCTCTAAATAGGACCACATCGCTATTTGGTCTGTTTGGGATTGATCGGTCAGTTCTCGCCAGAGGCCCAGTATCTTCTTTGTGTCTAGGTAAGGTCTAGTGACATAGGCTTAATCTCGCTGAATAGGAGGTTGGTAACTTTATGGGGATTGTTTGCACGACATAAAGTAATGTAATCTCTGTGGAACATTCATATTTAAAGGAGAACTATGAGGTGAGTGATTTTCACTCATCCTCATAGTTCTAGCCGACCTGTGACAATGAGACTGTCACAGGTCGGCTCAGTAGATCGGGAAGTGAGCGAACACATACCGGCGTTCGCTCACTTCTCGATCCTGTCACGGCAGAGAGCCGTGACAGGGGAGGCACTGTATTCCCCTCTCCCCGCTCCGATCCTCCAGCGCTGACTGGCGGAACGGACAGGGGAGGGGGTGGGTACAGCTGGCTCTGCCTCTAGATAGGCAGAGCCAGGTGTCACTCACGCAGCTGTGTGGATCCAGACATAATTGTCGGGATCCGTTTCAGCTGCGGCGTCTCAGTAGACCGCGAGCTGTAGCTCACGGTATACTGAGCTTAGGGTGACAGGAGGACGCTAGTTTGTGTCCTCCCGTTACCGTTAGGAGAACTATGGGGAAAAGCCCTAACCCCATAGTTCTGCTTTAAGATGACAGCCCTCCCGAATCACGATAAACAGGGTCTATCCCAATTTTTAAGATCCTGATAAAACTCTTTTAGAAGGGGTGAATAGTTTTGTGAGAATAACCCTGAATTGGTAATTGGATCCCCAAGTATGCAATCACATAATAAAGGGGGAAGTTACAACCACCTTGACTATAAGGTAGATGTTCATATTATGGGCAGCAGAGCCCTAGCACTTCTGCCTTGCAGCACTGGGGTTCCCGGTCAGGACACTATCTGCATAGAGTTTGCACTTTCTCCCTGTGCTTGCATGGATTTCCAGGTTTTCTCCCACACTCCAAAGAAATGCTGGAAGGTTATTTGGCTCCTGTCTAAACTAGCCCTATATGTGTGTGCAATAGGGACCTTAGATTGTAAGCTTTTTGAGGACAGGAGCTGATGTGAATGTGCAGTATGTAAATCGCTGTGTAAATTGTCAGCGCTATATAAATACCTGTAATAAATAAATATTAATACTTTTTAGGTTTGAGAAATGACTGAAGTCTTCAAGATCTTTTATTAGGTTAGGGAGTGTAATATGTGCTTCAGATATACAGTATATAGAAGCACCTTGTCAGAGAATGTTACTAATTTAGAATTCTTCCCTTCCATTATAAATCCTTTCACATTTGGACATAAATGTTGAAGGAATCGTTGCAGAGTTAATATAAATATTATTGGAGATATACAGTATGTTGTGCATCAAAACATTTTCTTTCAAAGCCCACTTGACTTGAGGACTTCATATAATCCCAGGTCGCTCTGTTGAATACCTTCCCGGAATCCATGGTGAGGAATAATCCATACTTGTTTGTATTTTCCCAATAGTGGAGGTTCAGGGCTTTTAGGATATTATTCTGCACCTCCCTCTTGGGGACAAACCCCACTTGTTGAAGTGATATTAGAGAGGGGAGGAATGAAAGTAGGCGATCCACCAAAGGTTTTATATTCAAATTTAGAAATGACCTTGTCCAGTAATTAGCTACCTGCGTCGTGTCCTTTCCTTCCTTGTGGAGTACAGTACAAAGTGTGGGGAGGGTGTGGAAGTCTTGGTGGGAGAAATGAAGGCTGACAAGATGCATGGGGCTAGGATATGCGCCATACTTTTGTAATATTGCACTGTGAAGCCATTAGGTCCCGGGCTTGTGCCTGTTTTCATCTGTGTCCGAGCCAGAGATAGAATTCTGAGAATTCAAAGCAGTGCCACACCCCCTCCCGCCCAAGAACGCAGGGGGAAGTTTTGTGAGTGATTGCAATGCGTTCCAGCAGCTACCGCTTTGGAACGCATCGCAATTGGTGCGAACAAGCCCTTAAACACTGTAAATTCCTTTTTTTTTTTTTTTGCTACCCTGCATTTTTTATGTGCAAAAAAACCCAAAAAACTTCAGAATTAAATAAAATGTTAAAGACACTCCATGTGTCCTTCCGCCCGTATCTGCCTCCTCCTTGCCCTCCTCCGATGCCAGGGGCTGGCTGCTCTCAATCACGCGGGGGGGCTCTCTCTGACAGCTGCAGGAAGGGGGAGGGGGGTGGCAGTGCGGAGGCTGTGGGGGAATTGCCGGCGCGGCGGCGCCCCATTCTCCCCGTCAAGAAATCGCTGCTCCCAGGGTCAGGTTAGTTGAAGCTGCAGAGGCGAGTTAGGCGGCCGCGAGGCCCTCGTGAACGCGAGGCCTTAAGGCGACCACCTAACTCGCCTTATTAGAGAGCCGCCTCTGGTGGGAGGCTTTACTGGGTAAGCCAATTACGAAACTGTTGAAGAGGCATAGGAAACTGGCAACTTTCATCTTCTTAGACACTCAACAGACTATAGCTAAGGCATGGAAACAGCCACCCTTGAACTTTTTGGAGGTGAAACAGAGGGTCATGGGTATAATGGTGCATTAAAAGCTCACGGCTATCCTCAATCGGGTCCACATCCACAAGCTCTACATTTTCCTTACTTGCTGTTTCACTTTTGATCATAACGTTTGGAGTGTTACCTTGTGTTTACATATTTCTACCCTTCACTACGTCTGCTGCATTTATGCTGCTACAACTTGTATTACTTTGTTACTTATTTTTCCAATAAAACAAAACAAAGCTGCAATATTATGGTGGTAATGGGAGTAGGCCTATGGTCACTGCTAGGCAACGGAGAGGAATCTCCTTGCTAGGCCTCAGAGGTTGAAAGACTGTTTAGGTGGGAAAGAAACATATATAAACCATTGGAAAAGTACTTATCTGAGTTGTCAGCCATTATCTGTGCTGAAAGTTCATCTCTGTCATCAAAAACAAGAGTAGGTTTATGACGACTCTGCTGGGTCCCACATGGACACTGTGGTCAGCAGGTCTGCGTCAGTGGTGGGAAGTGAAGTCGCTGTCTTCGGTGCTCTGTCAATCCAGCTGTTGGTCTGGTCCTCCCCAAGTTTTTGGAAATTCCTGGTACCACTCCTGCATCAAGATGCCTAGGATCTAGAGAATTTGCAAAATTGATGTAGGTCAGCAAGGGTTCAGAGGGTGGCTGTGCGGCCTTGATGGGTGGCAGAGAGGCGAAATGAAAAACTCCAAAAATAAGTGATGTAATGTTTGAGGAGAACATGCAGGACAGGAAACAGGGCCCTCCTATTGGGTTATGCTATTGTATTGTGATGGGTTGCTACCTGTTGCAGGTCTTGCAGGGAGGTTTCATGGTTGCCTCCTTTGTAATCCACCTCCAAAAGTCAGGAAGCAATAGGACATAAGTTCTCTGTTAAAGCCAATATTGCTACTTAAATGGCACTTTTTTTTATATCTGTAGGCAAAGTCTGCAAAACTTTAATATTGGGCATTTGTTAAATCATAGCCATAAATCATTGCCAGAACATTGTCCATGTGACCTGCTCCACCAGATCTGTGAAAGTGGCTGATTGGGAACCCCAGGAGATCTTTGGGTCCTCCCAACCCTTCTTCTTTGTCCTCCTAGATGGGAAAGCACTGAGAAAGCTGAGACAAAAGGAAGAGGAGATGGCAGTAAAAAGAGAAGTGGTCACCTTGGCATAAAGTAATTCATGGCCTGTTTTTGAGGACTCTATATTCAGAAGGAACATCTGTACAAATGTTTTCTTTACCAAAAAGTAAAAAAAACTAAAACGCGTATCTGAATTTATGATGTACAGTATATCTAAATGTGATGAATGTGAAATGCAAAAGATGTTAAATCCTTGATGTTTTGCAGATGATAAAGTAAAGACTGAGCGTGAATTGCCTCCACTAATGCTGGGAGAAGATTTTAAGTGCCAACATTTTCAGTATACATCAAATGAGTATTTTCACCTACATGGAGGAATCGAATTTGACCTGGGAACACCAGCTCTTCAAAGTGTGTCAGCAGAAATAAAGGTTTAAAAAGTTCTATTTTTTATTTTGGACATTTTGTTAATTTAAACTGACTCTGTCAGCAAAAGAAATCTCCAAAATATGCTTTTTGGGCAAAAATATTAATGCTAACCTCTCTGGTGGACTGCAAATCCTAACTTTGTCATCTTCAAGAATTAGGGTTGCTAATTGATATTTAGTATCCAACGCACTTCTGGCCATGTCAGATATTGATCCCGCACTGTGTGCTGTGGTTTCTCCTGACAACCACTATATCACTGCAGGACACACTAATGCAGGGATGGCCAAACTGCGGCCCTCCAGCTGTGGTGGAACTACAAATCCCATGAGGCATTGCAAGATTCTCAAAGCCACAGACATTACTCCCAGAGAGAGATGCTTCATGGGATTTGTTGTTTCACCACAGCTGGAGAGCCGGAGTTTGTCCATCCCTGCACTAATGGCATGGTGAGAGGAACCACAGCAAGCAACAGAGGACCAGGCACCCAGCACACCCGGATGCTTTGCGGATGCTAATAGTACTTAGTCACACTCAAATGGATTTGCTCTGTAATGTTGAATGATGTTGCACTACTCATCCAAATAGTTTCCTCGGCTCCAGAGTCTGGAGCATTACAGCTGGAGAAGTTTTTCAGATTAGTAGAAAAGAAAAGTCCTTTAACATTACAGAACAAGTCGACTTGAATGTGAATAACTACTGCTAACTATGGCATTGCCTGGGTAAATGAGAACATTCTATAGCTGCCGTATTTATTTATTTGCAATGGAACTTTTTTAGAATTTTTTGTATCAGATGACAGAGTTAATATAACACACATTCCCTGCACTCTTCTGAGGATGTGTTACAGACTTTGTAAAAGTGCCACGTTGTGCAGTATTATAGGTACCGGAAAATCTATTCTGATAATGGCCAGGTTTTCAGTTTTACCCTACTGCATATTACTGTGCTTTTCTATAAGGTGTATGTACGAAATCCTCATCCCATATAGCTATGACTGCAGTGTTCTTAAATTAGGAGCAGTGTTCATCTGAGGAGTTTACAGACAACTGTGGATATCCATCAAGGAATGTGCTGTGTGTATTGTCTGCAAGTCACTTGAATAATACCTCCAGATAATTGTCTGATTTCATTCATCTGTTATCTTCATCTTACACATTCTATCTTTTTAACTGTATTTGTGTTTTAGTTGTTTGTACATTTTGCTCTATGCAGCCTTGCCAAAATAATATTTAGTGTAATTTTTCTAACGTCAGATAGACGTTGTCCTTAAACTCTTGTCCTTAAAGTGACATTATAGTCAAAAAATGTTTTCCCTCCCCCCAATGTTAAGTAAAACACTTCCCTTAAATGATGTCTCTTAATCCGATCTTCCTCTTCTTTCCTGTCATTTTCATCTGTCCCTCCAGCGCTGCTGCGGGTCTCCAATCCAGTGATGACTCCTCTGTCCTTGCTGGCACTTCCCGACCCACGGTGTCTGCATGCGGGTGCACGTGTCCATAGACTTACCTTGTGTCTCTCCTCGTCTCCCGGCCGAAAACCTGAACTGCGCATGCGCTCGCCCCAAGATGCTTTGCGGCCACCCCAGCAGTTTCAGATTTTCAGACGGGAGTGCACGGCGAAGACACAGGTAAGTTTATAACGCTTTTAAAGCAGTTTTTTTTTTTTAACTTTTTGCATATATCTACTGCTTGCTAGCAGAAGGCATATATCTACTGCTTGCTAGCAGTAGATATATGCAAAAAAACTGGAGGGTTTAGAAACCCTTTAAAGGAGTTGTAAAGTCCCAGCATATACTATTTTGTTATAACACCAGCATTGTAATAGTGAAGGGGAAATAGGAATAGCCATTTTATTTATAACATATTCTGTTTTAATTAAGTATTGTCTAACATCCTGTGTTTACCTTTTGCATACTATAGTTGTTTTGATAATGCAATCAAAGCCCTACTACTAAAAAATCACTTTTATGTAGTGAGCACTGCCTTCCGTCTGCCCATCACTTTCAACAGCTTCCTGGATTCCCAGTGTGCTTTGCATCTCTTTCTCTGCTGATTGATGTGATGCAGCCTTGATTTCTCAAGACTACATATCCCATCCTGCATTGTTTCCAGCAAGCAATGACAATGTTACCTTGTTAAGACGTTGAGTTGTAGTTCAGAAAGCAGGCTATATAAAAGTTGTGACACAAGGAAGTGCATATTCACAAGACTGATTGAAATTGTGTCAGTGCATTGAGGAAGTATATCATATGGACATCTTCAAGAAGTACGTTTACAAACTTATAGATAATACGGTTATTAGGAGTGGGATAAAACTTATGGAAAATGCAATATAGAAATACAGTTTTAGTTTTTGACCAACTTTCTTCCCCTTTACATGAAGCTGGTTGTCTACTTTCTGTGTTTCAAAGCTGAACTCCAGGCTAACAGCTAAACGCATTGTTGAAATAGTTATAAAACATTTTTTTCATCCTTTTGTCAGACTATAATTAAACATCTTTATTTATTAAAACATTGTACCAAATAAAAGCTTTATATGTCCTTTGCAAAAATGTCAAACTTATTTAGGTTGGCAAATTAGTTATAAAATCACTGTCAGGGCTCTTTCACACTATATGTAGTGATCTACATTTATTTGTACAAGAACAGCACAGGTCACTAACGGGGAACACAGAAACCAATTGTTTTCTATGTGCGCTGTGAACACTGCAACATTGATGAGGTAGGTTGCAATGCACTGCAGAAAAATGCAGACCTTCTGCAAAGCATCAGCGCTTACCTGAGGTCACTGCCAGTCACCACAATACAACTCTGTGATGCATTCGTGTTTATTTGGTGTCATTTTGTAACACTGCAATAAAATAAGAAAAAAAAAGGAAAAAATTTAAACATTGCAATGCACTGAACCCCCGTGCCCTGTAGCCTATACACAGGGCTGGATTTCCCATAAGGCTACTGAGGCCAGGGACGGCAGGAAATAGATTGTCGGCGGGGGTGTAGAATTTCTATCGCCCGACGCCCGGGACATTCCTGCATTGTTTCCAGCAAGCAATGACAATGTTACCTTGTTAAGACGTTGAGTTGTAGTTCAGAAAGCAGGCTATATAAAAGTTGTGACACAAGGAAGTGCATATTCACAAGACTGATTGAAATTGTGTCAGTGCATTGAGGAAGTATATCATATGGACATCTTCAAGAAGTACGTTTACAAACTTATAGATAATACGGTTATTAGGAGTGGGATAAAACTTATGGAAAATGCAATATAGAAATACAGTTTTAGTTTTTGACCAACTTTCTTCCCCTTTACATGAAGCTGGTTGTCTACTTTCTGTGTTTCAAAGCTGAACTCCAGGCTAACAGCTAAACGCATTGTTGAAATAGTTATAAAACATTTTTTTCATCCTTTTGTCAGACTATAATTAAACATCTTTATTTATTAAAACATTGTACCAAATAAAAGCTTTATATGTCCTTTGCAAAAATGTCAAACTTATTTAGGTTGGCAAATTAGTTATAAAATCACTGTCAGGGCTCTTTCACACTATATGTAGTGATCTACATTTATTTGTACAAGAACAGCACAGGTCACTAACGGGGAACACAGAAACCAATTGTTTTCTATGTGCGCTGTGAACACTGCAACATTGATGAGGTAGGTTGCAATGCACTGCAGAAAAATGCAGACCTTCTGCAAAGCATCAGCGCTTACCTGAGGTCACTGCCAGTCACCACAATACAACTCTGTGATGCATTCGTGTTTATTTGGTGTCATTTTGTAACACTGCAATAAAATAAGAAAAAAAAAGGAAAAAATTTAAACATTGCAATGCACTGAACCCCCGTGCCCTGTAGCCTATACACAGGGCTGGATTTCCCATAAGGCTACTGAGGCCAGGGACGGCAGGAAATAGATTGTCGGCGGGGGTGTAGAATTTCTATCGCCCGACGCCCGGGACATGCAGTTCCGGGCGCTGGGCGGGTAGTTTTTTTCTACATTTAACCCTGCTTCAGTGTAATTTGCCTTCTTGTCTGTCCTCCCCAGCCGCCACCCCTCCATGGTCTGCCCCCACCACCAGCTGCCTCTCCCCGCTGGCTGCCTCCCTTTCCACCATGGTTTTCGGGGTTCCCCGCTCTTCTGGGGGACCTGAGACCACAGCACATTCTTTCACAATGGAGAGCGGCGAGCAGAACGGAGAACGGCCATTTTCCAGTCTGCTTTGTGTAAACCCTGATTTCCCGGCATCCTGACATCCCGGCTGTCACAGGAGAGCCAGCACAGTACTGTGCTCAAACTCCTGTATTGGAGATGAAAGGTTCAATAAAGAGAACCTGTCACCTCCAAATTCTATCACACAGGGGGCTTGTTAGCTCCTGTGTGATAGCAATCAAGTTAAGTAAAAAGAATATGAAAAATAATAAAATTAAAAAACATAAAAATTGATAAAAAGTAAAATATAATTAAATGAAATTAAAAAAAGTAAAAGATTATAAGAAATA